TGTTCTGTCTTTCATCTCTGTGAAACAGCCACAGCTGTGGTGGGCTATCCTTGGCAACCTTCAGTGGGATGCTATACTGCCTGACCCTGTCCACACCATATCCAGGCTCCTTCAATCCTCTGTGATATTTCTCCCCTCCTCTTCTGCCCTCAAGCATCAACGCCTCCTCCCTGGACCTCATTCTCACTTTTGATGTTGACTCCTAACTCAGGAAGGCAGAGAAGCCATCACTAGTGGTTTCCCCACCTGGTCTCAGCCATGATCATCACCCTCTGTTTACAGCCTTCCCTGGGGACCCTAGGCTGCCAGGTTACCGCAATGCCCATGTGCGCTTTCTCTTTATTCTCTACCAGCTTTAAATTTAGGAAGCAGAGACATGGCCTCTAGTGGGGTCTCCTTGGCAACCCAGGCCTGCTGCCCCTATAGAGAACAACTCTTAAACCCAGAGCCCCTCCATGAACCCTCCCTGCAGTCCCAGGCAGCAAGGTTTTGCTAATCCAAATTATCCCCATCTGTGCACACACCCAGTTCCTCTCAATCAATACAAAGCCTTCTCGATCCACTGCAGAGCTGATACCCTAGTGCTCTTCCCCTCCTCTCCGATTTACAGCTGGGCTCCTTGCCCACAGCTCTGAACCAGCTCTCATTTGACTCCCAGAATGCCACCCCCCAAACCACCCCTCACCAATCCATGGGTCACTTCTCAGGCCTCCATGTATTTGCCCTGTTGCCGGGGCAAATCGATTCCCTGTCCTCTTGACAAACCCCACTGTCTTCCTCTGTCACTGCCACCCCGACTAGCTGCCCTTCTCTGGGGTCTCCTTGCTCTTATATCCCCCTGGCCTCATCTCATTTCCCTGTATGCACCATGGCTTTATATACTATCTAGTGTGTGGACAGGTACTCAAGTACCTATCACCAGCCAAACTCCCAAAACTACCCAAAACTCCCAGACCCCCAACAGATGTCCACAGATGTCTCCCCTCCCTACTTCCCAGCCTACCATTTCCTCTGCATGCAAAGAAATTCATTTGTCCACTTGTTCAGGCCAATATCTTTGGGTTCCTTCTAGACCCTTCTTTTTACTGCACATTTTTCCCATAAACCACCAGGGAAGAGTGCCCGTGACTTTTGTCCCCTCACATACTATGTAGTATCTCATTTCTTGCCTCCTCCATCCTGACCTTCTGAGCCAAGCCTCTCACACCCTTGAGAGACACTGTGCCATCCTAGCTGATAAACTTGCTCCACTCTGTCCCCATCTCTGTTCCTAACAGAGCCAGGAAAATCCATCCATGGACAAATCCATCCATGGAGCTTCTCTGCCAACAGCCAGCAAGAGCTCTCATGTTCTCAAGGACACAGGCAAATTCCTGATATGACTGCTGCCCTTTACCCCACTGTCTTCTCGGCCTGTGTCATTTCTTTACATACCTTCCTAGCCCCCTGCCCCCTTTTTCCCTTTTTTGGAGGGTCTCGCTTTGTAGCCCAGGCTGACCTTGACCTTGAACTTGACGATCCTCTTGTGTCAGCCTCCCAAGTGCTGGGATGACAATAGTTTGCCACCACACCAGACCCCTAACTTATTTTTAAAATTTGGCTTGTCACTGGAATATGAACATTTTGAAATATATCTTTTTGGATAAGGAATGAATACAGGGGACCCTGCTCCTCATATTTTTTTTTTCACATACATGCAGGCCCTGCAGCCACAAGCCCAGCCACCACAGTCCAGGACCCAGCCACAGGCCCAGCCACCTCAGCCTGAGGTCCATCCACTGACCCAACCACTGGCCCAGCCACCTCAGCCCAGAGCCCAGTCACTGGCTGGGCCACCACAGCCCCATATCCAGCCACCCCAGGCTTGGGCCCGGCCCCCTCAGCTCTGTTCCCAGCCACTGCAGCCCAGAGTTCAGGCACCTCAGGCTTGGACTCGGCCACCACAGCCTGGAGCTCAGCCACCTCAGACTTGGGCTCGGCCACCACAGCCTGGAGCTCAGCCACCTCAGGCTTGGGCTCGGCCACCACAGCCTGGAGCCCAGCTATCACCAGAGGAAGGCCAAGTGTTTGCACCCAAGCAACCTAAAGGAGCAGAAGGTGGAGTCCCACCTCTAGGTGAGAAGGAGAAGGATGTGTTGGGGCAGGGGTGTTTCATAGGTGGAAGTACGACACTGGACAGCTACTTTCAACATCCCCGTGGTGGCTGGCAGGATGCAGAGAGTCTCGCTCCCTGCAGTCAGTCACTCTTCATAGCAGGTCAATGCCATCTCTGTCATCTGCCAAGGGTGTGGCTCATACCACTGAACTCCAGACTTGGTTTTCCTCTTTACAAAAGACCTTGGGGTGCACTGAAGTTTTTATTTTGTGTATATATGTGGTATACATGTGTACATGCCTGTGAAAGCCAGAAGTTGACACTGGGTGTCTTCCCTATTGCTTATTTTTTGAGGCAGGGTCTCACTGGCCCTGGGGTTCATCAAATGGGCCAGACTGGCTGACCAGCAAGCTCCAGGGAGATTCAAACTCAGATCCTCATGCTTACACAGCAGGCACTTTTACTCATTGAGCTACCACTGGGCTCCCTCTTTAAAATTTATTTTTAAAGGAGGGCTGAAGAGATGGCTCAATGGTTAAGAGCACTGACTGCTCTTGTAGAGGACCTAGATTCGATTCCCAGTACCCACGTGGTGGCTATGAACCATCCTTAAGTCCAGTTCCAGGGGAATCTGAAGCCCTCTTCTGACCTCCACGGGATTTCAGGAGTCTCGCTCCCTGCAGTCAGGGGATTTCATGACACAAGTGCACTCACGTATATGCAGACAATACAGTCATACACATAAAAATAAAAATTTTTTAAATTATCTTTAAAGTTTTACTTTTAAATTTCGTTATTTTATTACTTATTTACTCGTGTGGGGTTTTTGTTTTGTTTTTGAGACAAAGTCTCCTTATAGCCCCAGGTAACCTGGAACTTGCTAAGTAGAGCAGGCTGACCTTGATCTCACAGATGGCCTCCTGCCTCTGCCCCGAGTGCTGTGATTAAAGGCATGTGCTACCATGTTCGGCTTACTTTTAATTTTTAATTGCAATTTTTAAATTTTCATTTCTGACAGGGTCTTGCTGTGAAGCCCAGGCTAGCCTTGAGCTTTTGATTCTCCTGCCTCAGCCTTTTGAGTATCTAGATCACACGTGTATGTTACCATGGCTGGCCAACGTTTTAAACATTAAGTAGAAATAAAAGTGAACCATGTGTTGTTGCTCATGCCAGTAATCTCAGCACTTGGGAACCTGGAGCAGGAGATTCAAAAGCTCAAGGCTATCTGGGCTACAAAGAGAGAACCTGTCTCAAAAAACACAAAAACAAAACAAAAAGTGAGAGAAAAAATATTGGCAAATATTTTAATATACTGACACAAAATCCAGAACCTATGAAATAAAGTTATAAATTTGAATTCATAAAAGTCTAGATGGTAGTCATGGTGGTACATACCTTTAATCCCAGACATTGGGAGGCAGAGGCAGGGCAGGAAGATCAATGTGAGATCGAAGCCAGCCTGGTCTACGTAGTGGCTTCCAGGCGCTGCCTGGGACTAGGGAGACCCTGTCCAAAAAAATAAATAAATAAAAATTAAAGTCTCTATTTTTATCCCCTCATCCCATCTCCGCAGATTTTTTATATGATATGTTTTCTGTTGTGAAGTGGGTTGATCCTTCTAGAAGTAATGTCTTGAGTGATGCCATTTTGTCATCCGAGGTACAAGTGCTCTTGGACACCTGACAATACGAACTTTATAGATTCTTCACAGTTTACGTCCTCTCACCGCTAGGCCATTTTGCACTGTTTTTCAGGTCTGGCCTTTGTTGAATAAATATTTAAATTGGTACATATCTTAGAGCGTAATAAAATGGGGCGAAAGTCTATCCCAGCTCCTATTAGTAAAAGGTAGTCAATCCTTTTGTATCAAAAGCCAGTTTCCTGAATATTTAACCTTTGTTCATGTGTCATTTCCTGATGCCCACTAGAGGGCAGCATCCCAGAATGCGCTACATTCCCAGGCAGCCCCTGTTGTTTGCATAAACTGGGTACTTGAGAGAGATTTCTGGCAACTTCTCACTAAAATAGCGTTTGGATTTGTGTCATTTTTCTATCTCAGATAAACTTGGCTGTCTTAGCTACTGGTTGACGTTAACATAATCTGTTCTGCTGTTACGGTCCGAGTGTCGGGAATAATTCCCATAGACATGAAGGAAAAATGCATAAAAATTTTATTCAGAAATTTGAAGTATAAAGTAACCAAATTAGCGGCTAGCCGAGCACAGACTCCACAAGCCAAAGATGGAGTCTGGCCCCAAACAATAGCAGGCAGGGGCTTTTATTGAAGAACTCCACAGAAACCCGCCCACACCAAGCATCTTTTAAAATAATTGGATGGCCCCATATCCTGAGTACAGGGGAAGTTTTGATTGGTAGGGGCTGTCTTCAGGGCATTGGAATGTGCTGACTTATATCTTTAGGGCCAGAAGTTTTTGTTCATACCTTATAAGGTTTTTACATGTTTAGGACTTGCTTAATCTATAGCTTCCCAGGGCAGAGGGTAGCAACTGGAAAGATTTACAATATGCCTGAGCTTGTCCGGGCTTGTCTGAAGAAGCTGGCCAAAATGGAGTCAGAGCATTCTGGCTCTTCACTACTTTCCCCCTTTGTAAAGATTTTTTATTTTATTTTTAATCATGTATATACGTGTGTGACCATGTGTGGATAAATGTACATGAGTACAGGTACCCACAAAGGCCAGAAGAGGGTGTCTGATTCCCTGGAGCTTGAGCTATAGGCTGTTGTGAGCTGTCCGGTGAGGGTTCAGGGAAACGATTAGGTCCACTGTAAGAATATGCATATTCTTAACTGCTGAGCCATCTCTCCAGTCTGTACATTTCCACTTTTGTTGTGTGTTCATATTTATTCCTGTACAGAAAAATGCCCACTTACCACTGGATTGCAGGAGCTGTCCATAAGGCCAAATAAGTCTTTGGGAATCTTTCAAGACCTTGTTGTGAATACCAGGAAGAAGTTGAATCATGTTCAAGCTTCAAAAAGAGGTATGCCGGCCTGGAAGGAAGTGTACGGAGCTATTCATTTTAAACTTTTGATTTAAAATAACTAGTGTTAGTGCTGGGGAGATGGCTCAGTGGGGAAGTGCGTGCTATGCAGATGTGAGAACCTGAATTCGAATCCTCAGAACTCATGTAACGCAGGGTGTAGTGGTGTGTGCATCTATAACAAGATGGGAAGTGGAGACAGAGCATCCATGGAAGCTTGTAGGCAGCTGCTCTGACTTATGCAGCAATGAACAAGAGACCATTCCCAAACAAAGTAGAAGATGAGATCAACACCATTGGTTGTCCTCTGACCTCCACACATGCGCCATGGCACACAGTGTCTGCATTCATATACACAGACTTGAATACACACACTCTATCATGCACTTGGATAATGCATATTCTTATGCACATACACTCACACATACACTGAGAAAAATAAAATAATAACGTGTTCAAGAGCTTCTGCACAGCGTGGCACCATCACTATCAGCAGGTGCCTGGCTCTTGCCTGCATATACCTGTGTGATAACCCACTTTTGCAGATGTGACAGCTTGCTATAGAGGTCTAGGTGGACTCTGTATTTTTCTTTTCCTCTTCAGTACCTAAAATAATGTGTTTTTGATTTCTCAGGGAAAAAAGGTAGAATGATAAGTCTACAAACAAACCATTACCGAGTAACCTGTGACTGCAACATTGCATATAAGTATAATGTTGACTACAGACCAGACATAAAGGACATAAATATCCGTGCGAGTTTGCTGCTCAGACATCAGCCAACCCTTGGCAGGTGCCATATATTTGATGGACACTCTTTGCTCTTACCTCAGAGGCTACCACGTTCGGTAAAGTATAGTTATTTGAAATTTTATTATAACGTCTTCTGCACAACCTCGTACACAGTTGTCCTGAGGATCTCTGCTGCGGGACTTGTAACAAACATCCCAGGATGTTTGATCATCCTGGATCCTTAAGAAGACCCCTAATTTTAGTGCTTAAGTGGCACTTAAGTGGAATTTAAGTACAACATGCATCAAAAATGTTGATAGAGGGCTGGGGAGATGATAGCTCAGTCAACAGATAGCTTGCTGTGCGATCATGAGGACCCATGTTCAGATCCCCAGCACCATGTCAAAAGTCAGGTATGGCCACTCATGACTATGATCCTGGTGCTGGGGAGGCAGAGATGGGAGGATCCCTGGACTTGCTGGCCAGCAGCCAGTCTACTCAAATTGGTGAGCTCCAGGTTCAGTGAGAGATCCTGTTTCAAAAAACAAGGTAGAGCCAGGCATGGTGGCGCATGCCTTTAGTCAGTCCCAGCACTTGGCAGAGGCAGGCAGATCTCTGTAAGATGGAGGCCAACCTGATCTACGTGGTAAGTTCAGGCCAGCTGAGGCCACAGGTGGAGAGTGACTGAGGAAGACTCAGAACCTCTGGCCTGCACACCTACTCACACCCACATAAGCACACAAACACATATACACACACAAAATGCTGGTGGTAATTAATTTTAATGTTTCATTTAAAAATTTTAGCTGGAATAACTTCAGATAGGGAATCATTTCCTTTACATTTTTAACATCTCCTTTCAACTTTATCTTCAATAAAATTTCATATCAGTTGGCCAAATCAACTATTTTCAGGAGCTTAATTAAAAACAGTTTTACTTTAAAAAAAATTGTGGTGCTTGACTTTTGTGGGTTACATTTTTTGCCTGCATGGGACTTTGTGAGAAAGACTGCTCCACCCCTCACTGGTGTGTAGGGTAATTAACTGGCATGTTGGATATCCTTTAGTGGAACTTAGTCTTCTTGGAAGAATATCTATATTTCCTCAAGCATGTTGTTTATGGTTTGTGTGTGTGTACCTATGTGTGTGCATGTATATTGGAGGCCAGATCTGGGATCTGAACTCAGGCCCTCCTGCTTGCACAGCAAGTACTTTACTGACTGAGCCATCTTCTTAGCACTTTTGTTTTAAATCTTAGGATATGGAGTTTGTCAGCCAAACTGAAGGTGGTGACATTGTGAAGATCAGGGTCCAACTCTCCAAAGAACTCCATCCCAAGCACCCAGACTGGCTACGCTATTATAATATTCTCTTCAGGAGGTATGTCAGACTTCTGTTCTTGTGTGTTGGTGCTGGTGGTGAACACAGATGCTCATGGTAGCTATTTGTGTTCTTAACAGTCTCCACATGTTGGGACAGGAGGGTTTTGAGCTGAAATGATATTTGAGCCTCCACTATGATGTTGAGTGTCTTGTCCCCAGTGTTTATCCTCCTGCCCATATCCACTTCCCAATTCTGACACTTGTGGGAAACTATTTCATCAACACACATCAACTATGTGTGTCCACACTCAAGTTTATACACTTTTGTTCTGTTGTATAGGTGACATAATAACCAGATATCCAAAAGTAAAATTTGGGATATATAGTTTGCAAAAAAATTTTAGTTCATTTCTGGGAATGAAAGGTGTTCTTTGGACCTTTGGATAATGTTTGATGTCTGAGAAAGGGACTTAGGACTTGGAGTTAGATGACCCATCATGCTGACCTCATCATGCATTGAACTTATCAGGCATTTTGTGTTAAGTGAACAAAAAAAGTCACAAAATGTTTTCCTATTGTGTGTGTCCTGTGCATGCTACCAAGTAATATTCAGTGTCCTTTCAACAAATCCTCTTCTTTGGATTTCTAGAACTCTGACGCTCATGGATTTGAAACAGTTGGATTTCAAGGATTGCGACTTGAGAACTCGCCTAATGGCATCAAAGTTTGTAGAAAAAAGGCTAAACTAATATCCACAGATTTAATCATACAATCTTTTTTTGAGACAGTTACTCTTATTTGAAGTTGTGTGATTTTTAAATGATGGCCTTTTAAATTACATCTACCAATTACAAACAAGTAATATTAGGAGTGCCAGGCCTGGTGGCTCACACCTGGCATCCCAGTGCTTCGAAGGCTGAGATGGGGGATTGCTGCGAGTTTGGGCAGCTGGGGCTATACAGTAAGTTCCAGGCCACCCAGGGCCTCAAAGTAAGTCCTTGTTTTAAAAAAAAAATTCACTTCTACATGTAAATACCGATCCTACTTAAGGAATTACAGGCAACTGATGGCTGCTGGGAAGGGGAGATTCAGTTTAAGGGTGAGACTTTTGGTAGGTTGACCAGGCTCCAGTGGATGAACCCACACCGAAGGGTATTTGGGAACACAAACCTGACACTATAGGCCTTAACATACATATATGTATATTATCTTAGAGTACAAAAAATTTGTAAGGTGGTAAAGATGGGGGAGGGGCTCTAAATATCAAAATATAGTGTATGAAATTTACAAAAGTTAAAAATTAAAAAAGGTAGAAAATAAAAAGTTTAATTTAATGTAAAGTGAAAAGATTTACCTTAAAACCCCCGGATGCAATACCAGGTGTCATGGTGCACTCAAGATACTGAGGCAGGAGGATGAATGACCAGTCCGGACTCCATAGTGATACCTCACCCTCAGGGGAAAAAAAAAATCCTTGTTTTATGACAGTGTCTCACTATGGAACGCTGGCTGTCCGGAACTCAGAGATCTCCTGCTTCTGCCTCCCAACTGCTGAGATTACAGGTGTGGGCCACTATGCCCAGTTTGAGAAACCTTATTTAGCTATTGTGCAAACATCATAGGAGCCTAAGTCAACTAACACCTGGTTAATTCCCTCTGAAAGCATTTGAATAATGGCAATTGAATCTATATCCATCTATACTGCTGGTATATTTGTTATAATGTATAAACTTTATATAAACATGATACTTTAAACCCAAGGGTGATAAGTGCAGTTTCACAAACCACATGAATTACCTGATAGGTGACCTTCATTTGAAGGTCCTTCAAAAGAGCAGTTGTGGCTGAATTGAAACCAAGCAACTTGGGGTTGGGGATTTAGCTCAGCGTTAGAGCACTTGCCTAGCAAGCTCAAGGCCCTGGGTTCGGTCCTCAGCTCCAAAAAAAAAAACAACAAAAAAACAAACAAGCAACTCTTATTTTCGACCAGTAGCACTGGCCCAGACCTGGGCTCATGTGCTCAGTAACAGATTCTCTTTGCAGAATGCAGATCCAGCGCAATTACAATACTTCAATCCTGCCATATGAGAATGTGCTCACCCTGTGTGCTGACGTGACTCACAAGCTGCTCCAGATGAAAACTGTCTATGACCTCATAACGGAGAAAGTTGACAGGGGAGTCCCAAATCTTGTAGAGGCAGTGTCTGAAGAGCTGCTGGGATCCATTGTTTTTACAAGGTAAGCCTTTTTTCAAAACATGTTTGACCCCCATGGTTATTTCTTCTGCTCCCCAAAGGAGATGTTCTTCAGTCAGTAAATGCTGAAGTCCAGGGCTAGGCTCATGTGACCTCTCTCATCTGGTGATCCAGCTATGGGGGCAGGGGGCTGGGTGGCCCTTTCCCTCCTCCCAAGCCTTTCACTTGGGCCTTTGCTGCAGGACCTGGCTGGTACCTCACAATATGTTTCTTCTCAAAATTTTATCACCTTTTTTTCATTGTTGGTGTCTAGTTATTATAAAAATCAATATTTAATTACAACCCACTTGCAACTTTCACCTTGATGGACACTTTTATTTTTAATTTTCCTGCTATACTAGAAATCTTAACTTTATAGAGTTGACATGTCCTATAATTGCAGGATTTAAAATACTTTTGTATGGCTTGTATGCCATGAGTGTATCAGAAATAATCTCTCACACTGCTATTATGTCTCAGATACAACAAGAAAACCTACAGAATCGATTATATTGATTGGAATCGGGGTCCCAGGAATATGTTTAAAAAATCTGATGGCAGCATGATCTCCTTCGTAGACTACTATAGGGCGGTAGGAACTTTTATATTTTTAACTATATTTAAATCATAAAATGTTTATGTTCAGTTAAATTGACTTCCAAGTTTTCTTAGATAAGTATTAACATATACTCCTGTTATATCTATGAAGACTGTCTGGTGGCCATTTAGCAAGGAGGTCACAGAACATATCTGAGAAGCAAGAAAGCATAAACTGGGCTGATAAGAAAGCAACCTTGGCTCACAAAGGCACCATGCTCCGGATGGGCCTAGCAGGTGCTCGAATCCAAAGCCAACAAGGCAGGAAATGGTGTGGGTGTTGCACCTGCCTTGTAGAGGGAGGTGGGAGCCATCTTGAATGAAATTCTGTGTGCTTGGACCAATAAAATTTCACTGTGGGGCTAGAGAAATGGCTCAGAGGTTACGAGCACCGGCTGCTCTTGCAGAAGATGCAGGTTCAGTTCCCAGCATCCACATGGCAGCTAACACCCATACATAACTCCAGTTCCAGGGGATCCAATGCCATCTTCTGGCCTCCACAAGTATTGCACTCATAGATGCACTTACATACATGTAGGCAAAACACTCATACACAAAATAACAATGAAAAACAAACAAAAAATTTCACTGTGCTCCAATGGTAAATGCAGAACTGGAACTCCAGTTCCAGGGGCTCTGATATTTCTGGCCTCTGTGGGCACCCACACACATGTGTATACACACACACACACACACACACACACACACACACAATTAACAACATATGAGTAAATAAATAACTACAGGCCACATCAGGGAAACATTCATACATATAACCTACATCAACATCACAATAAATAAAACTACGCAACTTCAGAATAGGTGTAAATGCTGCATTTGAAGCTAGCTGTTTAAGGTGAAAATTCCCCTGAAGTTCCCCAGTGCCCAAGTCACAGGCAATCCCAGATCTCATAAAGGTCTATGAAGGAGCCCAGCTTTCTGTCTGGGAGGAAGGGTGCTTTGCTGCTCTGTTTGGAAAGCTTTATGATAACTTTTTGATGACGTCTTTTCCTACTGAAAACAGAGACTAAGTTTATCAGAAATGTTGTGGCGAAAAGGCTGGAAGTAGCCCTGTAACTGACATTTAAAAGGGGCCAGGTTTTGCTCCCCTTTGTTAATGTGAGAGGATTCAAAGTTTGAGCAGCATGCTGTAGAACTTTGAAAGATGTGAGAATTATACTCTGCAAGAGTCTCTTGAGTGGGGGCAATGGATCCGTGGGTAAAGTGCAGGCTGCTCAGGCATAAGCACCTGAATTTGAATCCCTGACACCCATGTAAAAGCCAGGTGTGACAATGTCTATAATCCCAGTGCTGGGACAGGGGAGGTGCGTGGATCTCAGCAGCTCTCTGGCCACTGTCTATCTGATCTGTGAGTTCCAGGTTCAGTAAGATACTGTCTCACAAAAAAAGGTGGAGAACAATAGAGAAAGTCAACCCATGTTGACCTCTTACGTACAGACACTCACACAAGGGCAAGTGTACTAGCACCTATGTGTACAAGCACGCACACACATATGCGCCATCTACATATTCAGAGGTAGAAAGAAGTGAGTGACATGACTTTGGAGCTCTGTTTTCTGGAAGTCCTTCCTTTGGCCATGGATGCTTTTAAGAAAGACACAAGCCCGGTGTGGCAGTGTACATGCCAGCACTAGGGAGACAGACGCAGGTGGATCTCTGTGAGACTGAAGCCAAGTTGGTCTACATAGTGAGTTCCAGGCCAGCTGGGGCTGGGAAGGGGGACTTGTCTCAAAAAGAAAAAAAAGATAGAAAAGACAAAGTTGTGATCTTTAGGACATCAGTGTAGAGAATGTAGGGCAGGGGATTATAAGCAGTATGCCTCGGGGTCTCCACATGACCCCAAACTTGTATCCGTGTAATGTCATAGGGGATTTGCTGACAGCACACCATGCTTCTTGCTTCTGTTGAGCAGCAATACAACCTCGTCATCACAGACATGAATCAGCCACTCTTGGTAAGCCGGGGCAGATGGAGAAAGGGCCAGAGGAGCACCCCCCAGGAACCTGTGCTGCTGGTCCCTCAGCTGTGCTACCTCACAGGTACTAGGGGTTCACATGGACTCTATAGAAGATAACCCCTCTTTCAGAACCAAAGATTGAATCATGGAAAAATCCAGGCTCTGAGCAGAACTCAGTGACCGGGAATCACACCCCCTGGGTTAACTGGTGGTTTTGTGCCTGGATTCCCAACTTCAATCATCTCTACTACAAATTAATCTCATTTGTGTACTTACATCTTCTGAGTTTTTTCCAAAGGTCTAACCAGTGACATACGAACAAACCACAAACTGATGAGTCAGCTGACTAGACAAATGAGAATGTGCCCAAAGAGCCGGGAGAAGGTGTTGAAAGAGTTCATGAAAAAGTTAGAGACGTAAGTGGGGTTTTCCTGGCTGTGTGCACTGTTACACTGAAACTGAGACCTCAGTGCCTCAGATTCTTGTACTGAAACAAAGACGGTTGCAATCCAGGTATGAAAATTCATGCCTGTAATACTAGTGCTCTGGAGGTTGAGGTGGGAGAATCACAAATTTGAGGCAAGTCTGGGCTATACAGTAAGACTCTACCTCAAACCAGCTGCTCAGTGGTAAAGAGCCTGCTATGCAATCATGAGGCCCAAGTTCACACACACCTGTAACTCCAAAGCCAGAGGCAGGGTGCAGAGACAGGTGGATCCCAGGGGCTTGCTGGTCAGCCAGTCTTGTCAAAATAGTGAGCTTTGGGTTCAGTACAAGACCCTGTCTCAAAAAATAAAATAAAGTTGGGACTGGAGAAATGACTCAGTGGTTAAGAGAACTGGCTGCTCTTGCAGAGGACCCCACGTTAAGTTCCTAGCACCTACATAGTGGCTAACAACCACCAGAAATTCCAGTTCCAGGGGATCCAATGCCCTCATCTGGTCCCCATGGGCATTGCATGACATAGGTGCACTTACATACATGCAGACAAAGCACTCATATTAAAAATAAATTTAAAAAAAATAGAGGATGCCCACCATTGACTTCTGGACTCCATATGTGCATATAGAAGTGAGCACATGTGTACATGCATGCATACATCACATCCACATGTACCGCACATATACATACAAAACAAGAGTAATGGCTTTTTAAAACAATATTTTTTTTATGGGGCTGCAGAGATGGCTCAGCGGTTAAGAACACTGGTTGTTCTTGCAGAAGACCTGGGTTCGAATCCCAGCACACACATGGCAGCTAACAAATGTCTGTAACTCTAGTCCCAGGGGATCCAACAGCCTCTTCTGACCTCCTTGGGCACTGCAAGACATGGTGTACTTACCTACATGCAGGCAATACACACATACACATAAAAATAAAAAATAAAAAATTTTTAAATAAATGACTTTTGCAAAAAAGATAGCTTTTGGGGGGTCAGAGCAGCTCTAGTTTTCCTGATGTTGCGATATTAATGGCCAAGGAGAAAATGGTGATGTAGAAAGGCTCTTGGTGAGCTGTGCTCATGTATGAAAAGGACAAGATTACCCCAGAGTTTCAGGGAGGTTTGCTATATAATATCACAACACACGAAGAGCAGTAATGAGCCTAGGATTCAGGGGAATTGCCCCATGCTTCATGAATGGCTAATCACTCTGCTTTCTTTGGTTTGGTTTGGTCAGTTCCAACTATTGCCATTTTCAGGAATCAGAACATTCAAGATGAATTTCGGCCTTGGAAGGTGAAGTTTGATACCACGTGCTTGCACATCTCAGGAAGAATTTTGGATACAGTAGAGCTCTATCAAAGAGGCAAATCCTCAGTAAGCCAGTGCAAGTGCTGCATTGTTTATCTAATTAATACCGTGGACATTTGCTGCTGGTGCTTGGAAGATCTGTCTTCCAAAACTACCCAAATGGCACAGGCTGGGACAGAAGTTAGACAAAGGAAGTAAATTTGATTGGCTAGAATAGAAAGACTCAAGAAGTTGGTTGGCAGTTTCTGTCTGTGCAGGGAGCCATTCTACTTCATAAACTCTCCCTGAAAATTTCTTGCCAGGTTAAAGGCATACTTGGTTACATATGCCTTTAATCCCAGCACTCATGAGGCCAGCCTGATCTAGATAATGAGTTCCAGGTCAGTCAGAGCTACACAGTGAGACCCGGCCTTAAAAAAAAAAAAACAACAACAAAAAAAAACCACCTCTTAACATCTGTGACAGAATCCCAGTTTTCCTAATCTATATCTTAAATACCAAATTTAGTCCGAATTTGAGGTTAGAATTGTGAACTCAGGAGGCCAAGGCTGGAGACTTGAATGTTCAAGGCCAGGTGAGACTTCATAGCAAGACCCTGCATTGAAAAAGAAAGCTTAGAACTGTGAGATTTTAATAGGAAACAGTGAAGTTGGAGGACAGGAAGAAATGCAGATGATGTTAATCATTTAAAATAAGTTTTCTGTGTCTTGTGCCTCTTGTCCAGTTTATGACCAATCCACAGATATCAAATTGGTTGAGAGAATCAAAAAGCAGACCACTGCTTAGACCGATGCCGCTAAAGAACTGGGCCATCCTTTATCCCGAGTGCTGTTCCATTGAGACCAACTCCTTACTGCGGAATCTGAAGGAAGTCTCTGCGGTCATGGGCATAGACATGACAGAGGCAAATGGGTGAGCAAAGCCAGAGTCTCCCCCTCCAAAAGTCAGTCAGTAACCCTGGGAAAGCACAATTGTGGGAATATGAACTTGCAGAAATCTAATTTTTTGAGACATGGTCTCCCTGCAGCACCAGCTGGACTGGAACTCGATGGCCTTAATCTCACAGAGATCCACCTGCCTCTGCCTCCCCAGTGCTGGGATAAACATGTGCACCACTGTGCCTGGCAGAAATCTAAGTTTTTAAATATTTTATTTATTATTTTTATTTTTATGTATTGCCTGCATGTAGGTAAGTGCACCCATGTCATGCAATGCCAGCGGAGGACAGAAGAGGCTGTCAGATCCCCTGGAATTGGAGTTACGGACAGTTGTTAACTGCCATGTGGGTGTTGGGATTCGAACCTGGGTCTTCTGCAAGAACAGCCAGTGTTCTTAACTACTGAGCCATCTCTCCAGCCCCAGAAATCTAATTTTTAAAGAGCTAGTATCAATTACTTTCAACCCAGAAACAAATTCTGCTATAGGTCCTAATAAATTTTTAATGACTTCTCATTGGAAAAGACAGCAAGAGTCATTCCATGTGTATTTTCTTATGTTTACAGTACCATACATGAGTTTCCTCCCACTGAGTGGGCTTTTAGTACAATTAGGTAGCTGTTGATTGCCCCCAAGACAGAAGTGCCTCTACTGTACCAATGTCATATGCTGTGTCGGCCATTGATGTGTTATTTGGTCTTGAAGCTGGAGATAGACCACTGATTGATGTTTTTCCTTGGTACCTTCATAGTGCTCTCCAAAGCTACGAGAGCTAGCCTTCAGGAGAAGTGGCTTCCAGGTCAGTTTCAGGTCCATTGCTCCAAATCCTGTGTCCGAAGTATGTTCTGTCTTCAACAGTAGGGTCTTACCTGCAAGTTCTGGGAGGCCATCAAGGGCTGTAGTGATAGCCTGTGTAATTTTTGGAGTCTATTGGACTACCCTTGCCAACAACTCAAAGAAGGTTTCTCCTGTCTGGCACTGTTTCTTGTTATGTCACCTTTAGCTATGAATGGACTCATGTAGAGATAGTATATGTTTAATTTGCCGTTAGGTTGTTGGACTAATATGATTCCCTCTGGTTTTTTTAACACTAGCTAGGCATTATTTCTCCCCCCACCCCAATCTAACCCTTCCACCATGGCTTCCCTATTTAAAGTGCCCCATTCCCCCATTTCTCCCTTGATAACACCAGTCTCTTATGGTCCCATCTCTCAAGCTTCTTCTTTTCCTTTATCCCTAACGTTCCTTGTATAAACCACCCCCCCACTTAAATACCCCCATTTTACCCATTTCTCCCTTAGCAGCACCAGTCTCCTACTGGTCTTCTGTCTCAGGTTCCTTCTTTCCCTTTACCTTCCTGGTTCCTTTCCAGTATCCTGGTTCCTGTAGTTACATCAGGATTCATACTCACATATAAGGATTTGGTGCTAGGATACACGTGTGAGGGAGAACATACATCGTTTGTTTTTCTGAGTCTGTGTTACTTCACTGAGTATAATAACAGTGTTTCACGTTCTGTGGTTTAGATAAATACGAAGAACCACCTCCTCCACCCCCCACCCCACCCCCACCCCACTGCAGTGTCAAAGAGGAGGACCCAACCATCTGCGCCGTAACTAATCCTCTTTTCCCACCACCACTTCCACTTCTAGAAACCACTCATTTTTCCCATGTCTCCACAATCTTGTCTTTTGTAGAATGTGACATGGTAGGGAGTGCACAGCATGTCACCTCTACAGATCAGCATCTTTCAGTTAACAAGATATGGATGGTGCTTCCGTAAATTTTTGTGTAGGTCTTATTATATGACCCAGGATAGCCTTGAATTCTCAACCCTCTGGCCTCAGCCTCCCAGGTGCTCAGATTACAGGTGTGTGCCATCACAACCAGCCTTCCCTACCTTATCATTTAGTTTTAGTGTTGAATGAAATTGTGTTGTCTGGATGTACACACATACATTCACCTACTGAAAGATGTTTTGGTTGCTTCCAGTTTTTGATAATCATGGATAAAGTAACCATAAACATCCATTCACAAAGCACTGAGCTGTTCCTAAGTGGCTGGACTGTTTTATGTCCCCCACTAGCAGTGAGTGGAGTACGCTGCTGCTCCACACCCTCAGCATCTGGTTCAGGCATTGTGTTGGGGCCATGTCATGTAGGCTATTTCTTTGAGTTTGTGTTCCCTGGTACTCTACTGGGGAACAGACTTATCTGTCTGGGTACACACACATCTAGGTACCATTGTGGGGGAGGCATTTGTTAAGGTGTTTGGCCCAGTTAAAAATCAGCTTAATTTCATGTGCTTGAGTTTTAATGTTCTTTGTCAATTTTGGAGCGCAGTCTTTCCTCAGACCTGTCTTTTGCAAACAGACAAGCTATTGTGTAGCTTGACTTCTCTTCACTGTACCCTTGACAGAGCAGATTTTTTTTAATGAGGTCCTGCTGATGGCCTAAGTATCATCTTTTTTGATTATGGCCCAGGCCCTCAGTATATCAAGAGTCTTTACCATAACTGAGATCATGGAGGTTTGCTCCTAGAAAACTCTAGAATTTCTTTTGTCCTGTGTTATGCATTTAGATCTATGACTCATTTAGAGTTCATTTTTGTGGTGTGTGTAATGTTGGTACATTTGGGGTTTGGTGTGCGTGTGTGTGTGTGTGTGTGTATGTGTGATTATTCCTGTGTTTGTGTGTGTATATTTGACACATGTGTATACACATGTCTAATTCTGACATTTGCTCTTCTGTTATGCTTTTGGACTTTTGGCACACCTGGCGGTGATGCCCTGATGGTTAGATGTGATGTCAAGGGTTACGCTGTAAATAGGCTTCATCTGTAGTGATGGTCACAGGAACTACAGTCCTCTACTAGGGATTTTATATTCTTCACCAGCTTATGTCTCTAAAATTGAAGTCCACCAGTGTTAAGAGTTTTGTTTCCTCCCCGGTTAGGTGTAACAGGGTGGCTAGAGTGTACTAGAGTTGAGTATTTCTGTCCTGCCACATAGAATGCTAAGACTGACCAGAATTAGTACAATGCTTTTCTCATGGAGTTTAGGCTCTGAGAATGTGCCAGATGAGCCTCTGGCTGGATAGCTCCTCCTGAGCACAGGTGTTATCATAAAGGAAGAATGCTCTAGCCTAGGTTAGGGGTGTTGTAGAGAAGGGTCAGCATTATGGATATTGTGGAGAACTAAAGTAGACCAAGTTAGGGTTAGGAGCATTGTGGAGAGGAGTGTTCTACTCTTGTATTTCAGAGTGATTCCTCTTCCTTTTCCCTCCTGGACATATTGGGGAACTTTTCTCTGATAGTTCTTATGAGAATTTGGTTGATCTTCTAGCAGTGACTTGATTTATGGGTTCAGTCTGAAGCTTTTTTTAAGATCTTATTTTTATTGTATGTGTATGAATGTATTGCCTGCATACAGGTAGGTGTACCCATGTTGTGCAATGCCCACAGAGGTCAGAAGAGGGCATCAGATCCCCTATAACTGGAGTTAACAGATGGTTATTAACCACCATACAGGTGCTGGGAATAGAATCCTGGTCCTCTGCAAGAGCAGCCAGTCCTCCTAACGTTGGAACCACTGCTCCAGCCCCCAGTCTGGAGCTTTTAACTCTCATAATTGTCCATACTGAGCCTCCAGCAATTTGTCAGTCACTGTTTTCCCTCTGGCGAGTGTTTGCTCAGGCCAGCTGCACCATGCCCTCCTGTCTCTCTCTCCAGTCTTGGCAGAAAGTGTTTTCTGAGCCCTTACCTAGGAGTCTTGGGAATTTTGGATTCTCTGTTTAGCTCATCACCTGTTACATCCCAGGGGTGATGTCCAAGCTCATGGTCCTGAAAATGTTTTTTTTTTTTTTTACATTTACTTATTCATTCATTTATTTATGGAGGTATACATGCCATAATGCATATATAGAGGCCATAAGAGAACTTGTGGGAGACAGTTCTCTCCATGATGTGGGTCCCAGTGATCGAATTCAGGTCATCAGGCCTAGCACCTTTAACCATTGTGCCACCTTATCAGCCCAAGTTATTTTATTTTTAAAACAAACTTTGAGCTGAAATATCTCCCTTAGCATTTCTTCATGTCTGGTTTTATATTTCATTCAAAATATGAAATTTTTCCCTGTCCCTCCCTCCTAACTAGAGACAGTTTGCTTGTTTTCTAGATATAAAGTTGGCAAAGACCCTGAGTCCTACAAGGAAACTTTAAGGAAACGTGTGACAACAAGTACGCAGATGGTGAGCGACCGGATGATCCATTTGCTGTCTCTCCAGTTCCATGTATTTTATCTATTTCTTCTTTTTAACTCTGTGTGTGTGCGTGCGTGCATGCGTGCGTGTGTGTGTGTGTGTGTGTGTCCGGGTTTGTGCACATGTGAGTGCAGTTGCCCACAGAGGTCAGAGGAGGACATCAGATCCCTCGGATCTGGAGTTTCCGTGGTGACTCACAACCACCTGTGTGTTGGGAACTGCGCTTGGGTTCTCTGGAAGAGAACCTTATTAATCTCTTATCCACTGAGCCATCTCTTCAGCCTTGTACATGTATTTAAGAATTTAGAGGGGTCGCCACTGGTTTCCTTGAGTCACCAGTGACCATACAAATATCTATAAGGATCAGCGCAACGCGGCTGTCAGGGGTCTTCTGTCCACCTTTGGGATCACCTAGTGCAGATCCTTGCAAACTTGAGAACCTGGCATTATTTCAGAAGTTAAACGACATACAGATTTAAAGTAATGTGGGATACAGTAGTCCTCACAACAGCACTTTCCATCTCTAGTTATAACAGGCTAAGTCTACAATCTGTTCCCTAGTAGCAGGTGACCGTCCTCCCTCAGTATTTTAAATTTAGAATTTTTAAAATTAATTTTTCCTGCCGGGCGTGGTGATGCACGCCTTTAATCCCAGCACTAGGGAGGCAGAAGCAGGCAGATCTCTGAGTTCAAGGCCAGCCTGGTCTACATAGTGAGTCCCAGGACAGTTGGGGCTACAGGGAGACCCTGTATCCAAAAAACAAAAAAAATTAATTTTCCCTCATTTGTGAATGCATTGTGTGTGTATGTGTATGTGTATATGCACGTACATGTACAGGGGTGGGGGACAGGGGCACATTAGGTGTCCTCCTTAGTCACACTCTATCTTATGGGCTTCCCCATCTCTGCCTCCCTGGAGCTCTGCCTGCAGGTGAGCCCCACACCAGCAGGATTCTCTGAGAAGCCTGCCAGCAGTTTCCAGTGGCAATGAAAAAGTCTAGGCTTTATGTCAAAGACATTAAGGAAAACATCCCAGGTTACAATTAAGAAAGACAAGTGCCCACCTCTAACATCACTCCTGGGAAGGAGAAAGAATGGAAGACATGAGGAAGAAGCCCAAAGAAGGAAGATACGTAGAATTTTGAATAGTTATTCAGATACCATATAATACCTCCTACTGAGGGACGATCAACATCTTTAAATCCTCCAGGAACAGTTGCAGAAGTGCACAAGATACCTGGGGAAATACGGCCTCCTTTGCTGGGTCATCTAAGCCCCAGTTCTCTCATCTCAAAATCCTGTGGTTCATTATTGCCTTGTTAAAACTGCTGAGCCTTAAAGAGGCATACTGCTAAGCTCTGTCCAACATGACTGTGTCCTGCCAGGGCACAGGACCACGCTATTCCATAGGCTGAAACCTTAGGTCATTTTTAGAATGCAGGAGGGAAAAACTGCATAGAACTGAGAGCCTGCAAAAGTACTATGCACCAGTACCTATAAGAATACTGTGCATCATCACCTGCAAGATTACTATGCACCAGTACCAGTAGGAGCACTATGTATCAATACCTGCAGGAGTTCTGTGCATCAGTGCCTGTAGGAAGGTTAGCAGTTATTCCGAGTGTGCTAGAACCTCAGATGTTTAATGCCCTAGGAACGGAGTAAACCAAAATAGAGAGGGGGAAAAGCAATAAAAACAGAAGCAGAAACCCAGTGGAACAGAATGAACAGACCAGCAAGGGAGAGAACAAGAGGAGGAAAGACTTGAGGTCAGCCTGGGCGGGGCATGGTGTTCATTAGACTGACCCACTGGGGAGAAAGGAAACGGGTAACTCGAGCCGCAGTGTGCCAAGGACTTTGAACACTTGAAATGGGTCATTTTCATTTTTTAAATATTTTATGATTTTTATTTTATGTGCATGAATGTATTACCTGCATATACATACAAGTGCACCCATGTCATGCAATGTCCATGGAGCTCAGAAGAGGGCATCAGACCCCCTGGAACTGGAGCTAGGAACCATCATTAGCAGCCATGTGGGTGCTGGTAATGGAACCCAGATCTTCTGCAAGAGCAGCCAGTGTTCTCAACCACTGAGCCATCTCTCCAACCCCAAAATAGGTCATTTTTAGAAAAAAAAAAAAAAAAAACCTAGCCATTTAATATGATCAATTATGGGAAAAAGTTCATGTTAATGCAGGTAAAGTAACTGAAATTCTACATTCCTTCTAGTGAAGGAAAACTCACCTGATACAGTAAAATTTCCTTAATGTAATAAAAGATGTCTGTCAGGAACTTCCTGAAAGCACCATTGTGTTAAAAATAGCATATTGGGGGGTGGGAGATGACTCAGTGGATAAGCGCCTGTGGTCAGGCATGAAGACCTGAGTTTAGATCCTCAACTCCCATGTAAAACTCCAGCATGGCTGTGCACCCCTGCAGTCCACTCGGGTTGAAGGTGAGTGTTGGAGACAGGCAGATCCCAGGAGCTTGCTGGTCAGTCAGTCTAGCTGAAACTGGGCTCTAGGTTGAAAGACCTTGTCTCAAAAATGAAGATGGAGATGATCGAGGAAGAGACCTGAAGTTGACCTTGGGTTACCACACATGTGGGCGCACGCACGCATGGTAAGACAAAATACTATATTGTTGATTTTCCCATTAGAGCCATGGACAGGTCAAATCCCCAGTCTCCCTAACAGGGTCTGAAACCGTGTAAGTCACAGAGTATCTGTAGCCCCAAGCTTGTTTGTTCAGTGGGGGTAACAGTACCTATGTCAATGGGTTTCTGGAAGAATTAATGGAGGCCAAGGAAGTATGTGGCCAGTGCTCTGCACATACTCATTGCCCTGTATGTGGCCACCATCCACATCCTAGTCGGATGCCCTGGCTTCCTCATCCTGGCTTTATTTCCTGTCCTTGGCATCAAAAATCATGTCTTCCTCAAAGTGACTTTGCCCATCCTCAAATCATCCTTGTTAACATCATGGTCAAGTCTTGGATATTGAATGATCAAAACAAAGCATTTTACATGTTTTAAGCAATGGATGCAACAGGACCAAACGGCCAGTCCTGCCTTTTCCCCGCGTCCTCCTGGGGTCCTCACGTGCTGTGCCTCTAGAGGCCCCACCTGCCTAATCTCCAATCCTGGCTCCTCTATAGATGGTTTTTACTTCTCTTGTTGCTGAGTTACTATTTCTTCTTTTGTTTCTTTTCAAGGTGGTCTGTATTCTGCCTGACCACGGGAAACACAGATATGATGAGATAAAAAGATTCTTGTGTGTTCAGTGCCCGGTCCCCAGCCAGTGTGTGGTGGCAGAGACCTTGCGCTATGAGAAGACCCTGAGAACCATGGCCGTCAAGATTGCCCAGCAGATGAACTGCAAGATGGGAGGAGCGCTCTGGAAGGTGGACACAGACGTACGTGGGATTCTATCATCCTCTCTTTACTGAATGTGTGCTCAGTGAAATGCAAGAGTCTACTTTTTAATCAAGTGATTTTTTTCTCTATTTTGTTCTAACCCAATTTATGATCATTTTTCAAAAACTATCAAGATGAAGAATACGATGTTCATCGGGATTGATTGCTTCCATGACATTGTGAGTCGGCAACAGTCGATTGCAGCGTTTGTGGCCAGCACCAATGAAGAACTGACCAAGTGAGTGAGTTCTGGCTGCTGCCTGGGCCACATAGAGGAGATGAAACTGGCTCCTACCTTTAGACAGTCCAGGGAGTTGGGAATTCATGATGTTGTGCCTGGCTGTGTGCTTTCCTGACTCTGACAGTTATTCTCCCCCAAAATGTGCTTGGGCTAGATCTTTGATTTTCTTTACTACCTGTGCCAGGCGTGGTAACACACACCTGTTTAAAACCAGCACTCAGGAGGTGGAGGCAGGAGGATGGAAAGCTCAGGGCCAGCCTGGGCTACATAGCAAGTTCCTCTCTCAAAGCAATAATGTGGCGGCTGACAACCGAACATGTCTGTTTCAATGTAGTTTGGGGGCCAGACAACTGGTACCCATAGGTGACATCAGTCTTCCAGTCTGGCTCCTTTATTTCAACCCAGTCATGTTATTTGTCTCTGTTATGTCTTTAGAATTAGAAAATAATGTGATAATAGGGGAAACAGTCATCACTCATCAAATGGATTATGTGTGGTACCTGTTCGTGTGTGTGTGTGTGTGTGTGTGTGTGTATGCATGTGTATGAAGGCTAGAGGTTGACACTGGGCATCTTCCTTGATTGCTGTCCACCTTATTTTTTGAAGCAGGGTCTCTCAGCAAATCTGGAGCTCATTGATTCAGCTAGGCCAGTGGGTCAGTGGGCTCCAGAGCTCCTCCTATCTCTACCTCCCCCACACTGGGGTTACAATCCTGCATCATTATATCCAGTTCTTTATGTGGTACTGGAGAGCTGAACTCGGGTCTTCATGCCTGCATGGCGGGAACTTTACTGAGTTACCTCCTCAGCTCCCAAGTAGGTATTTGTGAGCACTTCCCGTGTCTAGATTCTAGTACTAAGGCACTGAAAATGGAAAGCCAAAAATGCTGGTTCTATCTCAGGGTCTTAAGCCCTGACAAGTGGCTGACAAATTGGATCCACTGCATCATGTCACAGAGCCTGGAAGCAAATCAAAACCTGGTAAGGGAATAGAAACTTGAAATAACTGGACACATAGCAGTTGTCACCGTGCCTGTAAGCATGGAAGCAACCTACTTGTCCTCGTAGCTCAGGAAATGCCTCTGTGCTATTCGTGGATATTCAAAACCCTCCTGAAATGCTAAGATCAGTACTTAGCCCTCTGTAAGGATGTGAAGGAGCCTTCCTTGGATCCTGCTATTGGTGTTGGCTTGGGACATAGATTAATTCAAGATACAAATGACAGAAGTTTCTAATGGTTTGTTTTTCTGCAAACAGGTGGCACTCTCAATGTCTCTTTCAGGAACCTGGGCAGGAGCTTGTGGATGGACTGAGGGGCTGTCTGAAAGGTCAGTGTCTCTAGGAAGTGATAGACTTGACTCCTGGTCGTTTCTTCTCCACAAGTGGACATACTGCCCTCCGAGGTTGTTTGATCACAGTTGAAAATGTTTTGCATGTACACACATGTGGGTGCATGTGTGTACACACACGTGTACGTGTGCATGTGTGTGCATGTATATGTACCTGAAATGTAGAGGCCTGAAGACAATCTTGAATGTCATCCTCAATTACCATATACCTTGTCTTCAATATAGTCCTGTTACCAAGGCTGGAGTTCACTGTTAGGCTAGGCTGGCTTGCCAGTGAGCCCCAGGGGTCCGCCTGTCTCTACCTCCCTGGCTATGGGATTGTAAGTGCACACCACCATGCCTGGCATCCTTGTATGGGTGGGTTCTGGGGCCAAACTTGGGTTCTCAGAGTACTTGACTGAGCTGTCTCCTCAGCCAGGCCAGAGATGCCATTCAACATCCTGCCAGGCAAGGATTCCTGGCCATAGAACTGTCTCAGAACTCTAGCAGTCATAAGACTCAAGAAATTTTGGGTTAGCCTGAGGTTGTAGATAGCCAAATTGGGACAGCCAAATTGTGCAGAAAGCTAAGACTCCACACAAGATGAATCTAGACCTTGCCGGAACAGCAGAGGTCAGTTTGTGCAGAGTCCAGTGTGTTTACACCTATTGGCTGGTGTCCTTTCAGCTGCCTTGGATTCCTGGTTTAAAAATGTACGGAAAGCACCACAGAGCGTGGTGGTGTACAGGGATGGAGTGGGAGACGGCCAGCTTCAGGCCCTGCTGGACAGTGAAGTGGCACAGATGGTGGAGTTCTTTAAGCGTGGGCGTAAGCCTTGGTGAGTGCGGAAGTGAGGGCGGAACAAAAATCTGTTTGGCACAGACACTGGGTTTAGTAGATGTATGCGCGGAAAACACATCTCACCCTTTGACTTCACATTTCACATAGAGTCAGAACACTCCTGACCAATGATGGATCTCACCTCTGCCTCCTCCTCCTCCTCCTCCTCTTCATCCTCTTCCTCCTCATCATCCTCATCATCCTCATCGTCCTCGTCCCCCCTCACCTGCTCTTCCTCCTCTTCCTCTGGTTCTTCCTCCCCTCCCCTTCTCCCCCCCCCCACCCCTTTATTTTCATAGTACTAGGCACTGAACACAGGGCCTCAGGCATGCTAGGCAAGCAGCAAGCCTTGAACTTGTGTTCCTCCTGTCTCAGCCTGCACAGTAGCTGAGACGCCTGGTTTCTGCTTCAGTCTTGGTGTAGGCAGGCTTCTTAACCTTAGAGATTCACAGATATCCGTGAGTGATCTGCTCCCTCCTTCCACCCTGAGTTTCATCTCTGATCTGGGCATCCCCTCCTGCTGTATCCTCTGGCCTCATGTTTGTTAGGCCTGTTGCCCAGAGCAGATAAGAGGAATGACCTTGGGGTTGTGGGGAAGGGCCCCTTCCCCTCAGATGTGGGGTGGGGGTGCTGCAAATCAACACTCCATTTAGTGCAGAGTCAAGACTCTCACTGGGCTGTGTGGAGGGTGGGCTGCTGCCTTTGGCTCCTTCTGAACCTTCCAGAGTGTGTGTGTGTATGTGTGTGTGTGTGTGTGTGTGCGTGTGCGTATGTGTGTGTCCAACCCCTGGGCCCTTCTGAGAGAAGGTGACTAAATACAGTGGCTCTGATTCTTGTCTTACTTTTCCAAAGTATTCCGCTAACTTTCATTGTGGTGAAGAAACGAATCAACACCAGGTTTTTTGTGAATGAGGCTTCTATGAATCCACCTCCAGGGACAGTGGTTGACCAGGTGGTGACCAGGGAGGAATGGTAAGCCATGTCTTCGTCTGTAACCGTCTCCATTGCTTCTGCAAAATCGCCTGATCATTTTTAAAGCTTTTTTAAAGAAAATTTGTGATGTCTTAAACTTTCCAGAGAATTCTTTGAATTTAGAAATTGTGTTTTGTCTTGTGGTTACCTGAGTTTCATAATCAAATTTTTGTGTCTGTGACCAAATAATTGTTAATCTTAATGTGACGCTAAAACTTCTAATTTTGAATCCAGAAGTAACCAGTTATGTCAATGAGGATAGTTTGGAGTTATCACAGATCGTGCCGTATTGAATATGCCCTAGTAAAATGTTTATATACAAGCTAAAGGGAGGTTTACTATTTTTAAAATGTGCTGCTGCTCATAAAAAAGACAAGTTTTTCGTACATTAATCCCTTAAGAACATGGACAAATGATGTGTTACCAAAGTAATGGTAATACTGAGGCTAGTGAGATGGATCTGCAGGTAAAGGTACCAAAAATGATGTCCAAGTTTTATATCTGGGACCCACATGAGGGAAGGGGAAAACTGACTCCCACAAGTTGTCCTTTGACCTCCATACCCATGCTATAGCATGCACATATCCTTCCTCAGAAACACACACGTACACATTCAAACAAAATGTATTTAAGTTTGGGGCTGGAGAGATGGCTCAGTGGTTAAGAACACTGGTTGTTCTTGCAGAAGACTTGGGTTCGAATCCCAGCACCCACATGACAGCTAACAACTGTCCCTAACTCCAGTCCCAGGGGATCCGACAGCCTCTTCTGACCTCCGGAGGCATTGCACAACATGGGTGTACTTACCTACATGCAGGTAATACACGCATACACATAAAATAAAAATAAATAAAAATTTTAAAAAGTTTAAAAAATAATATTTAAGTTTTTTAAAAATATATATTTTACTGCTGCTGGGTGTAGTGGTGCACCTCTTTAATCCCAGCACTTGGGAGGCAGAGGCAGGTGGATCTCTGTGGGGTTGAGGCCAGCCTGGTCTCATAGCGAGTTCCAGGTCAGCTGGGGCTACAGGGAGACCCTGTTTCAAAAAGACCAAAAAAAATTTTTTTTACTATCATTTTTATTTTATGTGTATGCATGCATTGCCTGCATGTATGTGAGTGCACCCGTGTCATGCAGTGCCTGTGGTGATCAGAAGAGGGCTTCGGATTCCCCTGGAACTGGAACTAAGGATGTTTGTAGCTGCCATGTGGGTGCTGGGAATTGACCCTGGGTCCTCTGCAAGAGCAGTCAGTGCTCTTAACCGCTAAGCCATCTCTCCAGCCCCCAAAATATATTTAAGTTTAAAAAAAATTCTAATAAAGGCCCTTGCCACAAAGTAATGGCAATATTAAACACACTGTAAAATCCAGCTCTGCTGTCCATGGACAGAGTGATGCAATTCATGGTAGTGCTTTAGGGTGTTTTTTTCTTAATAAGCAGCCCACCCTGAGTGGGACTCAGCAGACAAAATGACAGTGAGGTTAGACACCAAGGACACTGAAATAATGAGATGGCTACAGATGATCCAGACTCAATATGCCTAAGGGAGAAGATCTAAAAATGCTGCAAGGGGCTAGAGAGATGGCTCAGCGGTTAAGAGCACTGGCTGCTCTAGCAGATTTGGTCCCAGCACCCATTTTGGGCAGCTCGCAACTGCCTGTAACTCCAGTTCCAGGGAATCTGATGCCTCCTTCTAGCCTCTGTGGGGACCTGCACACATGTACACAGACACACACACACACACACACACACACACACACACACACACACTAATAAATATACTTTTTAAAATGCAGTAAGAGTTGTAAGAATTACTAAAATGTTGAATGAAAAGACTTGGATAGGGTCCTTTTGGCCTCCATGGCAGAAAGGAATGTCATTGTCAAAAGTGTGACTTAAGATACACATGTTGTGCCGCCGCCATGACTCTAGGCTTACTACCTTCAAAAGTCAACCTGTGACAAATGTGTCTGCCCTGACAAGCACAAGAGAACGTCTAACTGGAGTGCCAAGGCTAAGAGACGGAGCTCCATCAGGACTGGGTGAATGGGGCACCTAAGAATTGTCTGTTGCAGATACAGACATGGATTCCATTAAGGACCAATACCTAAACCCAGGAGGATGGCTCTCACAGCATCCAGTTCATCTTGAGGATTTCAGTGGTCATAAATGTTCTGGTTTCAAAAAAAAATGCAAAAAAGAAAAAGCATTCTATAACTAACAGTGATAAGTGTAATCAAGCTGAAAACTCAGAGAAAAAATTTAGGAAGCAGATTAGACAGAAAAGTTATAACTTGAAAAAAAGATTTACAAAATCAGGCTGGAAAGATGGCTCAGTGGTTAAGAGCACTGGCTGCTCTTGCAGAGGCCCTGGATTTGAATTCTGGCACCCACGTGGCAGCTAACAACAATTTGTAACTCCAGTTCCAGGAGATCTAACGCCCTCTTCTGACCTCTGTCAGCACTGTACAACATGGGTGCACTTACATACATGCAGGCAATACTCATACATATAAAATAAAAGGCTAAGGGAAATAAGGCTAAGATTTTCTCACTATCAAGCAGAAGTTTCTATAGGACAAAAGATATGTGGATGGAAGATAATAGTCAATAGAATATTTTTAATTTGAGAACAAGATAAATTCATTTAGACTTAGACACTTCCTAGTGAAGCTTAAGGACAGAAGGCAGGAGAGACTTTAAAATTAGCAGCCACAGGAATCACATGTTTATGAGCAATAAGATGACAATAACAGTGAGAACCAGAATTCGGGGAAATAGTAGCTTCAAACAGCCACAGAGCAACTAGGACTCAAGAATTTACACCCAGCTAAGGTATCATGGCAGGTGACTATGACATACAAATATCCTCAGAGCTCTCTCTGCAAGCACTGCTCCAGCAGACCCTCATTCAAAGCCGTCTGAGGGTTGTATTTTAGGAAGAAATTGAACAACTTGGGAAGGATTGGGACACAAAGCACTGCAGATCAGTGGCTTTGGAGTGAGCAAAAATCCCTTGACTTTTGCAACTGATTCACAGGGTTATTAAAACAAGAGGTCTGCAATGCTGGCTATTAAAAAAATCTTACATAGGAAATGAGTTACAGGGTGAAAGCCTTTTAAGATTCTTTGACTCAAGAACCTCAGGTAAACCTAAGACTTAGTTATACAAGTAAGTGCTGTATAAAGTAAGTATGGGGATTAAGACAGGATACTCCTTCCATGGATGGAGAAATGAAGATTCATGGGAGAGACGCTGATCTGGTAGAAGGCAGGAAAGCACAAGAAAATGGGAAGCCTGACAGAGTCCAATAAGGAAGCACACAAAATTAAGCCCATGTTTACAGTTCACGTAAGCAGATTCACCTTAGCGTTACTGTGTCTATTGGAGGGGCTGTGTGGAGGGGCTGTGTGTACTCCAGGGACTGTAGGGAAAGTGGGGCTCCTGGTCTCCATACCTGCATCTAATTACCAGATGAGGTGGGGCCTGTGTTTAATAAGATGTGGCCATGTGAAATGTGCCAGTTTCAAGGCGCCAGTTTCAAGGCATCAGAAAGTATATTGTGACCGTGTGTGTGTGTGTCTGTCTGTCTGTCTGTCTGTGTCTGTGTCTGTGTATGCCAGTATGTGAGCACACAAATGCTCCTGACTGGAGACCAGAGGTTGACATCAGGTGTCTTCCTCAAAGGTTCTCCACCTTGTATTTTGAGATGAGGCCTCTCTCATGGAACCTAGGACTTGCCAGCTGACTAGGCTGGCTGGCCCAAAAACCTCAGGAATCCTGTCTTTGTCTCTCCAGTGCTGAGGTTCTAGACATACACTGTGACACTCAGTTTTTTAAATTTTTATTATTTTTATTTTTTGTGTATGTGTGTATTGTCCACATGTAGGTAAGTGCACCCATGTCGTGCAGTGCCTGCAGAGGACAGAAGAGGCTGTCAGAACTGGAACTGGAGTTATGGACAGTTGTTAGCTGACATGTGGGTGCTGGGATTCGAACCTGCGTCTTCTGCAAGAACAGTCAGTGTTCTTAACCGCTGAGCCATCTCTCCTGCCACTGAGCCATCTGTCCAGCCCCAACACTCAGTTTTAACATGGATGCTGGGGACCTGAACTCAGGTCTTCATGCATACATGCCAAGCATTTTATCAACAGGTCTATTTTGAGACTGACTCTGTGAGATTCATGCCTGTTGTCAACAGCTTGACTGTCCTCTTTATGAATGTTCTGTACCAAATTGTGGTTTTCTGGGATCATAGCCTTCCAAACTTAAAGGCGGCTTTGTCCATAAGTGGATTTCTATAGATTAATATCTGAATGTTTTTGCTTCTAATTCCAGACTTCCCTCCTTTTCTTCTAAAATAAGCTGATGTATTCTGTTATCTCAGGTATGACTTCTATATCGTGAGTCAGACCTCACAGGATGGAACTGTTACTCCCACTCATTATAATGTTATCTACGACACAAAGGGCTTATATCCAGATCAAGTTCAGTGTTTAACCTACAAACTCTGCCACATGTACTATAACTTACCAGTAAGTTGTTTTTTAATTGGTTTCATTACTTAAAAGCTGAGCAGTTTTGAACTTTCCAGTTGATAGCTATGGAAATTTAAACTTGGAAAAAATGTAAAGTTTGAGATGTAAGATTTTAAAAAGACTTGTTTCCTTTCTCCCAAGGGTGTCATCCGAGTCCCTGCACCATGCCACTATGCACACAAACTGGCTTACCTCATAGGGAAGAACATTCACCAACCACCATCGGAGTCACTGTCTAAATATCTCTATTACCTTTGAGCTTCAGAGGAAGACCTCCATTTCTTTTTTTGTTTTAAGCCAGATGTCTGAATTATGTTCCTAGATCATAACCACAGTGTCATCATTTTTATTAGAAATGGAACTTTGAATAGTATCAACCAGATGGTAACACAAATGGAAATAAACTCAAAAGTGTGTCTCTGGTGTTTAGGCACAAATCTATCCTTCAGATTCCACAAGGCACAACTGGCTGAGGAGACATTTGACTCAGTGATAGATGTCTGGGTCCATATCAAGAGAACAAGTGTAATGCCTACAGGGGGTCTGGGATGCAGTGTGGCAAAGCTCTTGCCTGGCATGGGTCAAGTCCCTGGGTTCCCTCCCAAGCACCACAAACAGCAGCTGCCAGGACAGAAACATGTCAGGATGATGCAGACTACTTCTGGGAGACCCCCAGTGAGAATTTTGTTTTCCAGTTGACTTCTCAGATGTGAAGATTTGATCATTTAAACATGGCCCGGCTCTGCTTTGAAAACTGAAACCAGTGTTAGTCACCCAGAGAGTCCCTGAATGAGGGGACAGTGAACATGCATGTCTTAGCTGGGAAGCCATATCTGCTTTGTTTGAATGTGTTTAGTTTATTTTAAAGGACAGGAAAGGCACAAAATAGCAAACTCAGATGGGGATCTGTTGGTGTCTTATAATACTTGATAATTAGATAGAAACAACTTTGTGAGTTGTAGACCAAAGATTCTGTTATTTGTACTTTGGTTAGAATTTAAATGTTTGTGGGAAGTAATAAAAAAGCCCGATTTCCTTTCAATGCTGGCAGCTTAGGAACGTGAAATCTTTCTGTTCAACTCATGTTTCCAGTGTGACATGATAACTACACCAGAAACAAGAGACTTGAATAGATTATCTACATGAGGCCATGGCACATCTCCTGGTAGCAGGCATGTCTCCACTCGTGAGTATCTCTAAAAAGATTCCAAATGACCTATGAGCACTTTGTTTTCTTACAGGACAGAAGCAAGGATTAGCTTCAGCTACTGGAAAGGGCAAGTTTGGAAACAGTGTTTGCTTTTGATTTTATGTTGATGGGTGTACGTTTTCAATTTGAACCTGTCTTATAAGAAGTCATTTATGAAAATATGATTTTTTTGTGCAGCCAATTTACTTAACAGCAGACAAAACAATTCAGGGAAGAGATATAATTTCATATCCCAAATCTTAGTTGGAGAAATTCGTTCAAAATCCAGCCACTGTTCCCAGTTGTCAGCAAGTGCCAGTCTGGAATTCAGATGTGAGGATCAATATTAAATGTAGAACTATTGGGCCTTTAGCTGACTCAGTGAGCAAAGCCTCCTGTCATCAAGCCTGATGACCCGAGTTTGATTCCCAAAACCCACGTAGAAGAACTGACTCCCACAAGTTGTCCTCTGACTGCCACATGCATGCTATCTCACACACACAATAATAAATAAATTAATTAATTAATTAAATAAGCAGAATTCTAATATTACTATTGCAGCTTTCCTTGAATGGAAAGATGCCTGTCTAAGAAGACTTTCTAAGAAGGGTCCTAATGGGTATACAAAATTTTAACAGAAAATTATTCCCATATAAAGCAACGTGTAGTAACAGTAGAGTCCCTGGTCTGTGATATATTACTGGCAATGTGCAGGTCATGCCCCATAAGACTGGTTCCCATTTAATAGCATCCACATCGCATTTCCCCGTGACTTCTAGTTGCTCCCATGTGGTTTTTAAGGCTGGTCTTTGAAATATTTATCTGAAATATATTAGATTATAACCACACCTTCCCTTCTCCCAAAAAAAAGTATTCTGAAGGTCCATAATACAGGTTTCTGCCCTCTGAATAATAACCCTCTAAGTGTTTGATTTTTTTTAAGGGGATGGCAGCCTATCTGAGAGTCTGAAGACAGTGGATAGCCAATCCCTGATGTATTTAAAAATTAGATGTCTGAAAAAAAAAAAGTCTATGGCCAGAATCTGTCATGACTTTGCTACAAAGTGACCAAGAAAACAACGTGACAGCAGAAATATTTTTTTTTATTTTGTTTTTTGTTTTTTGTTTTTTTGGTGTTTTTGAGACGGTCTCCCTGTAGCCCCAGCTGTCCTGGAACTCACTATGTAGACCAGGCTGGCCTTGAACTCATAGAGATCCACCTGCCTCTGCCTCCCTAGTGCTTGGGATTAAAGGTGTGTGCCATCACACCCAGCTTTTTTTAAAATAACACACTCCAGAGCGAGAGTACATCTCTTTCACAAGTGACTGTAAGTTTCTAGGTTCACTGTTGAATTAACACGGTTATACAATATTGAACTCAGTATAAGCCCTGTAAGACATAAAACTGAGTATTTAACCTTTAAAAAAGATCTTCATTCCATTTTAGGATATATTGTTCCTTGCAGAAAGACTCATTGTTTTTGCTGCTGACACTGAGATGTTGGTGCATGCATCTTTAATCTGCATGTATCTATTACTAGTCATAATTGGTTGCACTTGGATCCTTGGTGTCTGTATGTCTATAAAGTCATCGGGTAGATTTCAGTGGTAATGTTTATCACCTCTACTAATTAGCATTATGTAAATTTCCATGCTTCCTCCTCAAATATAATACATTTTTTAAAACTTTGTTGATATTTTGTGTGT